GAGTTTCTAAAATTCACTATTTCTACTACGTACAATCACATAGTCGAATTCCATAAACAATCCAGCTTAGTTGCTGATTTCCTAAAATTCCTATTTTTCTACTACGTAAATACTATACTGGAAATCCATAAACATTCATCTAGTGCCTGATTTCCTAAATTTCCTATTTCTACTAACGTACAATACCTCCTACTGAAATCCATAAAATCAGCACTGGCTGAATGTTTATGGATTTCACTATAGACTTTGTACGTAGTAGAAATGGGGGAATTTTACAAATCAGCACTGGCTGAATGTTTATGGATTTCACTATAGGTATTGTATGTAGTAGAAATGAGAATTTTAGAAATCAGCACTGGCTGAATGTTTATGGATTTCAGTATAGGTATTGTATGTAGTAGAAATGGGAATTTTAGAAATCAGCACTGGCTGAATGTTTATGGATTTCAGTATAGATATTGTTTGTAGTAGAAATGGGAATTTTAGAAATCAGCACTGGCTGAATGTTTATGGATTTCACTATAGGTATTGTANGTCAGTACGCACCTGCAGTCTGCCTCGTATCGGTCAGTACGCACCTTGCAGTCTGCGTGGCTCGTATCGGTGCAGTACGCCACTCTTGAAGTCTGCCGTGGCTCCGTATCCGGTCAGTTACGCACCTGCCAGTCTGCCTCTGCTAATCGGTCAGTACGTACCTGCAGTCTGCCTCTGTATCGCGTCAGTACAGCACTCTGCAGTCTGCCTCTGTATCGGTCAGTACGTAACCTGCAGTCTGCGTGGGATCCGTATCGCGTTCAGTAGTTACCTGCAGATGATGCGTGGCCCGTATCGAGTCAGTACGTACCGCAGTATGCATGGCTCCGTATCGGTTCAGTACGCGCCACCTGCAGTCATGCGTGGCTCCGTATCGGTCGTACAGCACATGAAGTCTGCGTGCGCTTCCGTTCTGTCAGTACGTACCTGCAGAGCTCTGGCGTGGCCTCCGTATCGGTCAGTACGCACCTGCTCAGTCTGGGGCCTCCAGTATCGGTTCAGTACGCACCTGCAGTCTGCGTGGCTCCGTAGTCGGTCAGTACGTTACCTGCAGTATGCGGTGGCTCCGTATTCGCCGTCAGTACGCACTCTGCCCCAGTCTGCTCGTATCGGTCAGTACGCCACTGGCAGTCTGCGTGGCTCCATATCGGTCAGTACGCACTGCAGTTCTGACTTCACGTATCGGTCAGTACGCACCCTGCAGTCTGCCGTGGCTCCGTTATCCGGGGTCAGTAGCACCTGCAGTCTGGTGGCTCCGTATCGGTATACGTACCTGCAGTATGCGTGGTCGCGTATCGGTCAGTACGCACCTGCAGTCTGCTCCGTAATCGGTTTCAGATACGTACCGCAGTCTGCGTGGGCCCCGTATTCGGTCAGATACGACCTTGAAGTCTGCGTAGGCTCCGTATCGGTCAGTACGTTAACCTGTCCGTCTGCGTGGCTCCGTATCGATGTCGTACGCACCTGCAGTCTGCGGCTGGCCTCCGTTATCGGTCAGACGCACTGCAGTCTGCCTCCGGTAATCGCGTCAGTACGCACTGCAGTCTGCGTGATCCGTATCGGTCAGTTACGCACCTGCAGTCTGCCTCTGTATCGGTCAGTACGCACGTGCCCTAGTCTCGGTGGCCTCCGTAATCGGGCTCAGTACGTACTGCCAAGTCTGCGGGGCTTCGTATCGGTCAGTACGGGTACTGCAGTTCTTGCGTGGCTCCGTATTCGCGTCAGTACGCACCTGCATTTTCTGCCTCTGTATCGCGTCAGCTACGTACCTGCAGGTCTGCCTCTGTATCGGTCAGTACGACACCTGCAGTCTGTTCCTCTGATATCGCGTCAGTACGTACCTGCAGTCTGCGTGGATCCGTATCCGGTCATGTACGCTTACCTGGCAGTCTTTGCGTGCCCCGTATCGGTCAGTACGCACCTGGAAGTCTGCGTGGCTCCGTATGCTGTCAGTATACTGCAGTCTGCGTGGCTCCGGTATCGCGATCAGTACGCACCTGCAGTCTTGCGTGGGCCTCCGTATTCGCTCAGTACGTACCTGCAGTATGCGTTGGCTCCGTATCGAGTAGTACGCACCTGCAGTCTGCCTCCGTATTCGGTCAGTACGCACCTGCAGTCTGCGTGGCTCCGTCATCGCGTCAGTACGCACCTGCCATTCTGCCTCCGTATCGGTCAGTACGCACCTGCCAGTCTGCCGTGGCTCCGTTATCGGTCAGTAACATACCTGCAGTCTCCGTATCGGTCAGTCGCACCTGCAGTCTCCTCCGATATCGGTCAGTACGACACCTGCAGTCTGTCGTGGCTTCCGTATCGGTCAAGTCATCCTGCAGTCTCCGTATCGGCGTCAGTACGACCTGCAGTCTGCGTGGCTCTGTAATCGGTCAGTACGTACCTAGCTAGTCTGCGTGGCTCCGTATCGTCAGTAACGCACCTGCAGTCTGCTGTGGCTCCGTATCGCCCCGTCAGTACGCCCTGCAGTCTGCCGTGGCTCTGTTATTCGGTCAGTACGTGACCTGCAGTCTGCGTGGATCGTATCGGTTCAGTACGCCACCTGCAGTCGCGTAGCTCCGTATCGTCAGGTACGCACCTGCAGTCTGCGTGGCTCCGTATCGGTCAGGTAGCACCTGCAGTCTGCCTCTGTATCGGTCAGCTACGCACCTGCAGTCTGCGGGGGCTCTGTATCGGTCAGTACGTACCTGCCAGTCTGCCTGTGGTTCCGTATCGGTCAGCGTCGCGTGGACGCTACCTGTGGTTCGGCCATCCAGCTAGCAGCTCGTGCATCTGATCAAGGCTTGAGTCAAGCCCCGGGCCAGCCCGCGGTGTGCGTTTCACGCGTACTTCGGTGAGGAGTTGCACCTGTCACACCGCTCCTCGACTTCCTAGCGCGCGGAAGACACAACGATCACACGTTACGATGACGCTGACTGAACAAAATAAAGATTTCAAACGCATTTGAATTCGTTGCAGAAATGGGCTGCGCTGACTGACTGGTGCTGACTAGCTGGCAGGCCTCTGGTGGCTGGCTGGCTGGCTGGCTGAATAGCTGGCTGTGCTTGACTGAAATGGCTAGCTGGCTGGCCAAGGCTGGCTGTGCTGACTGACCGAGACTGGCTGGCTGGCCTGACTGGCTGGCTGGCTGGCTGGCTGACTGGTTGGCTGGGCTGACTGGACAGCTGGCTGGCTGGCTGGCTGGCTGGCTGGCTGTCGTTGGCTGGCTGGACTGGACAGCTGGCTGGCTGGCCTGGACTGGCTGACTGGACTGCTGAGTGGCATGAGTGGCTGACTGGCTGACTTGACTGGCCTGGCTGGGACTGACTGGCTGGCTGACTGGTTGGTTGGCTGGCCTGACTGGACAGCTGGTGCTGCCTGACTAGTGACTGAACTGGCTGCTGAGCTGGCTGGCTGACTGGACAGTGGCTGGCTGCGCTGGTGGCTGACTGGACAGCTGGCTGGTGGCTGATGGCTGACTGGCTGATGGCCTGACGACTGGTTGGCTGGCTGACTGGACAGCTGGCCTGGCTCGATGGTGGCTGGCTGTCTGATCTGGCTGCTGCTGGCCTGACTGACTGGCTGGCTGGCTCGATGCGCTGGCTGGCTGGCTGGATGGCTGGCTGGCTGGCTGGCTGGCTGGCTGGCTGGCTGACTACTTTGACTTTGGTTTACGGTTTAGTTCTTATAGTAAGTTTATGGTTCCACGGTTAGTTCATAGTAAGTTTTATTGGTCGATGGTATTTATAAGTATAAGTTATGGTTCACGGTTTAGTTTTATAGTAAGCTTATGGTTTTCACGGTTAGTTGTAATGGTAAGTTTTCACAGTTAGTGTCCACTGCCATCACGGCACGCTGTATCGTACCTGAAGGTCCGAGAGTAGTTAGGGGTGTACGGGCGATTGATCCAGACTTTCATGCGCACGCGGACCGGGGCTTCGCGACGAGGAACGCTGTCGTCGTCTCCCGGCCACGCCCGCCGCCATCGTCGCCAACTCAAACAGATTCGCTGTATCCTGCACGACACACAACAATCTGTGAATCAACTGCTATGCCTTCATGTAGTGTCACTATTAGAATGGATTCCTGTTTATAAAAACACTCAGAAATTTACCTTTAATTCGGTAATTATTATAAGAAGTCTATCAATTATCTATCAATAGTCATTTTCCTGATTATATACAGTAGAACCGCCTTTAGAGAATGGACAACGCTACATACAGGAGATTTTATTGGGGGCGAGTCCTTGGGTGTACCACTGTCACAATTTTACCTGCACTCGATCTCACTTAACGTGAGAATGTGTACAAGTGGTTGCAATGCTACAAACACGACTGCCGAAGTCAACGCGACACGACAGTCACACGTAGAGAACACCCCCCCAACTGTAGTAAACACCGCCGACCGTAGAGAACACCCCCAACGTAGTGACACCCTCGACCGTAGGAACACCCCGACCGTAGAAGAACACCCCCGACGTAGAGACATCTCCGACCGTATGAGAACATCCTCCGACCGTAGAGAACACCCCGACTGTTAGAGAACACCAGCCCGGACCGTTTAGAGAACACCCTACCGATCCGTAGAGAACACCCACCGACCGTAGAGAACACTCCCCCGACCGCTAGAGACACTTCCCTGGACCGTTAGAGAACACCCCCCGACCGCTTAGAAAAACACCCCCGACCCGTAGAGAACACCCCCGACCGTAGAGGAACACCCCGGACCGTTAGAGAACACCCTCCCGACCGCTAGAGAACACCCCCGACGTAGAGAACCCCCGCGCAGTAGAGAACACACCCGACCGTAGAGAAACACCCCCCGGACCGTTAGAGAAACACCCCCCGCACCGTAGAGAACAGCCCCCGCACCGTAGAGAACACCCCTTCACGTAGAGAACCCACCACCCCCGACTGTAGAGAACACCCCCGACCGTACGAGAAACACCCCCGACCGTAGAGAACACCCACCGACCCGTACGACGAACACCCCCAACAGTAGAGAACACCCTCCGACCGTAGAGAACACCGCCCAACCGTAGAGAACACCCCCGGACCGTAGATAACAACTCGCCGACCGTAGGAACACCCCCGCACCTAGAGAACACCCCCGCTGACCGTGAGAGAACCACCCCCCGACTTGTAGGAGAACATCCCGCCGACGCGTAGAGAACCACCCCCGATCACGTAAGAAACCCCGGACCGCTACGAGAACACTTCCCCGACCGTAGAGAACATCCCCCCGACGTACGAGGAACACCCCCCGACCGTTAGAGCAAACACCCCCCGACCGTTACGAGGAACACCCCCGACAGTAGAGAACACACCCCGACCCTATGAGAACACCTCCCCGACCTTTAGAGACAACCCCCGACCGCTAGAGAACACCCCCCAACCGTAAGAGAAACACCCCCTCACCGTAGAGAACCACACCCCCGACCGGTTAGATGAAGCAATCCCCCGACCGTAGAGAACACCCCGCCGTACGAGAAACCCCGCCGCTAGAGAACACCCCCCCAACAGTTAGAGAACACCTCGACCGTAGGAACACCCCCAACCGTAGGAACACCCCCGACCGTTAGAGAACACTCCCGACCGTAAGAGGAACACCCCCCGCCGTAGATGAACACCCCCGACCGTAAGAGAACACCCGCCGACCGTTAAGAGAACATCCCCGGACCGTTGAGAGAACACCCCCGACCATACTGAGAACACCCCGACCGTAATGAGAACACCCCGACGCTTAGAGACACCCACCGACCGTAGAGAACACCCCCGACCGTAGAGGAACACCCCCCGACCGTACTGAGAAACACCCCCGACCGTAGAGAACAAACCCCCCAACGCCCCCCCCCGACCGTAGAGAACACCCCCGACCGTAGTGAACACCCCCCGACCGTAGAGAACAACCCTGACCGTAGATGAACACTCCCGACCGTAGAGAACACCCCCCGCCCGTTTAGCGAACACGACCCCACCGGACCTAGAGTAACAACCCCCGAACTGCTTAGAGAACATCCCCCGACGTAGAGAACACCCCCGACCATCAGAGAAACACCCCCGACCGTAGGAAGAACCCCCCGGACGTAGAGACCACCCCCCAACCGTAGAGGAAAACAACCCCCGACTGTAGGAGAATCTTTGACTCATAGCAAACTCCCTCCCTCCCCGATTTCGCAACTTTAATAAAAACAATCGTCCGTTTCCATGAAAATGTTTCAGTCCGTTCCATGATTAACAACTTTCACGCGTTCTACTAGTTCTAGTGTGTGGAAGCTGCACACGGCTACTGCTACGGCAAACACACTACGTTGCCTTGCACCGCGGTAGTACGTGCCAGCGTCGCTGTGTACGTTACCGTGCCAGCGTTGCTTGCATGTGCGTGGCACTGTTACCGAGCCATGCACGATGCGTGGTGTGTGGACCCGTCTTGGCCGGCGGCCGGCGCCGCCACTCGGGAGGCCGCCCGGGGCGCATCGTGCGTGCATGTACCGAGCATGCTGTGCGGTGCGTGTGTGCATGTTGCGCCGCGGTGTACGTACCGCCTGCCGGCGTGTCGTGCGGTGCTGCTGTGCGCGCGTGTACGTTACCATGCTTGCGCAGGCCTTGTGTGTGCTACGTACCATGCAGCATGCCGCGCAGGGGCCGGAGGTCGTGTGGTGTACGTACCGCCCAGCGTGCGCGGACGGGTAACTGTGTGCGGTGCGCGCGTGTACGTACCGTGCCGGCGTGCGTTGAATCCTCGTTCTGCTGCTGCATCAGCGTGTCCTTTGTCTCGGTGTCCGCAGCCAGCAACGCGAACAGAGGCAGCGGTGGCACTGACGCTATCTCTACGTAGTCACCATGCTGCTGCTCCAGGTCCGCGAAGCCTGGCCCAGCATCAGACGGACTCCCTGCTACAACAGCAGGAGCGTTACCGACGGCAACGGTAACCGGGAGCTGCCGACAATGAAGGGGGAGGTGATGCGCGGAATGTTGGGCAGTAGTGGGATTTGAGAGCGGGGGAAACCCAACCCTGCGTCAGACGGACTCCCTGCAACAAGCGGCAGCAGCGTTACCGACGGCAACGGTAACCGGTGCGGGCTGACCGCGAATTGCGACAGATGTGGATTGAGGGAGGTGAGGAGATGTTGGAGTAGTGGGATTGAGAGCAGGGAAACGATACGACGGTATTTCGATGTGATCGTAGCATGATGGCACATTTCGCACGCGTGAACTGAATTGTGACAATGGTGGAAATTGCCGCAACAGTATCTGAAGTACGGAAAGCACCTCCTCATACAAGTAACCATGATTCGAGCTCCTTAAACCTTGTTCAACCAGGTTTTGCTATTGACATCTTATCCATTCACTCCCCCCCCCCCCCCCCCTCATATATTCCTGTAAACACGTAGCTTTTCACATACACACAACAGGTATGCGTGCTATTAATATAAAGTAACTAATAATAAAATAACACTATTTCAAACCCCACACGGCAGAACATGACAGAGTAGAGGTAGAGAGATCATCATACACACACGCGCGTCTATACCGTACCTAACGACAGAGTGCGGGACTTGGTGAACGTTCTCTGCCTGTCCAGCTGAGTTTCATCCTCAATGTCGCTGTTGTAACCCGGGGTCGCCTGTCCGCCGCTGATGCAACGCACCAGATGTGCGAGTATAGCCTTCACCCTCCTGTCACGCAAACACCAAACACACGATTCATCATCATCATCGCATAACACACCGCGTAACAACTCTCACCATAACCAGTAGTGCTGTCAATCGGTTGTAATTTCGTAAACAATCATCGGTTGGACCCAAGTAACGAATGGATCGCGTTACAATCGGTTACTCGGGGTGGTTGAATGCCTGCTGTCGTGCGTTAAACGTCGTGCTGTTACGTGTTTTGCATGTATGTGCTATGTTTAGCCCTCTTTACTGTTTGTTTTGCACCTGTTTACTCTGTGTTGTATAATTACATGTATTGTTAATAAAGGATACTTGCATATTAAGTAGCGATGATATCTCTGATTCTCATCTCATCACTTTTCCAAGTTTTGTTGTTCAAGTTTTAACAAACAAAAAAAATTTTTTTTCTATGAAATCGATTATGGATTTTTATAACCAAGCCAACGATGATCGTGACATCACTAATAACCAGCATCATTCGCTGTCTGTTCGCTATTATTTGCTATATATTTTATTATCAATCATTGCATCATTCGCTGCATCTCCATCCTCACCGACATCAACACAGCAACACTTCAATAATCTCAACAATTCACAACCATTTCGTTAAAATATTTCACGTTCCTCGTTTCGTAATGAACAACATCTGCCATCGTGCGCTGCATAACGTATCAAACTGATCTCTATATTATACTAACAGGATAGCGCTTACTTGGCCACTACGAGCTAATGGTCAAATGGTCAAACTTATTGATACGTGTATCGTTAATAATCAAACGTATTGATACGTGTATCGCTAATAGTCAAACGTATTGATAAGTGTATCGTTAATAGTCAAACGTATTGATACGTGTATCGGTAATAGTCAAACGTATTGATACGTGTATCGGTAATAGTCAAACGTATTGATACGTGTATCGTTAATAGTCAAACGTATTGATACGTGTATCGTGAATAATCAAACGTATTGATACGTGAATAATCAAACGTATTGATACGTGAATAATCAAACGTATTGATACGTGTATCGTCAAGGTTCGTATGTTGATCCCACACACACACACACATCGATACAGCATGATCACCGACCTGATTTTGCCGCAGTTGAGTAGTTCCATGAGCTGTTTCGGGTGGTACTGAGGCAGGACGGGGCTCGCGAGACGCGCCGCCTCAAACAGCCCACGGTCCTGTGAGGCGGCGAGACGCCCCGCCCCCGCGTCGTCCCCGCCCCCGCATCGCTTCTTCCTGCGTGCGTCGCCGCCGCTGCTGCCGCTGCTGCTTCCCACCATGCTGCTCAGCTTCAGTACAGAGTTAGTGCGGCTCGACATCGCTGACTGAAAGCTGGTGGTGGTCACACTCCTGCCAAGACACAGTATACATACATGTATGTATGTGTAGGTGTATGTGTATGTATATATATATGTGTGTGTATGTATATAATCAGGAGTAGATAAAG